GATACAAGCCCTGCAATTTCTAATCCATTACATTACACCGGCCCCTGCATCAACAGAGAATACGCACGCCCCCTCAGCCCCTGCATCTACGCCGGCCACTGCATCCACGCACCGTCGCAGACTCGCACGTCCCCTGAACCACAGAACCAGGCCCAGCAGCCAGCGTTCATCGGATTCGGTTACCGAGTCGGTAGCGGTAGGTGAGTTTTCTGTAATTTCAATTCGTATTCATCTGGCATCTGCTGTAGTGCTATTGGCTGTAGAGACTGTGATAGGTAAAATTTGGTGAATTTATTGTTTTTGTTCAAGGTATTTTTGTACTCAACTTCTTCAGCGACAAAGTTGGAAGGTAGTATCGGATTTTTGTTTTGAAATCGCACTCAATCTGATTGTTGGGAATGATTTAATTTCAACTAAACTCCTTATAATTTATTTATTTTTCAAAATTGTTGTTTCTTGATGGTAATTTTCCTCTAGCAACAGTGATTTTTTCGACAACCTTTGTCTTGAGTTTTTGATGCGGTTGTTTATTTTGTTCTCCTTGCCTTAAACAATTGGCCGCCCCTTAAGCGTAATAGGTGAAATACACAGGACCAAAATCCAGTGGGGGAAGTTGCCCCCACTAGGCCCCAGGTGACTCCGCCCCTGAAGTTCACTGGGGTTGTAATTGTTATTTACCCGGAAAATATGAGCTTTATCAAGCTTCATTTGTGCTGTTTTCTGTTTCATTGAGTTTGGTTTTAACTTTTCACTTTATTGCTGCAGAATCTTAGTTTCAAAAATGATAGCGGCTATATCTTGGGTTCCAAAAGGAGCCTCAAAGACAGTCCCTATTGTGGCTGAGCCTCCTAGTAAAGAAGAGATTGAAGAGATCGTGAAGAGCGGTGTTATGGAGAGACGGTAATATTTTTTATATTATTCTTGTTTTATTTTACATTATTGAACTCGTGGTTTGCTGACCCTTCCCATTTTGGTTTGTGAGAATGGACCACTAATTTAGACTGGGGAGGAGCAGCAGGGTAGGTTTTTGTGAAGGGGGTTGGAGTTAACTCCTGTATAACATTTATTTTCTGTTGAGTTAATGAAAGAAGTTATCTTTTATCTTGCAGTGAAGATAGCGAAGATGCGGAAGATGATGAGGATATGGAAGTTGATGCACTTATGCAAGATGAAGTTGCTCATGCTATGGCTGCTGCTAATGCACTTGGCAAGGCTTCCAAGAGCACAAATCCGGAAACTGACAGCATAGCAGATGCTCTTAAGGAACTAGACATGGATTACTATGATGAAGAGGATGATGGTATCTTCGACCATTGAATTGTAGTTGTTGTTTTCCCCATTATGGGCAATTTCCTAACCTACTTCTCTACATTATGGTCAAGGTATAACTATATTAAAAAGATGGTTGCAGACCTAGCTTTAGGACAAAATCAGAAAATGATGTTCTCTAATTGTCTTTTCCACAAACTAAAATTATATGTCCTCACGTCTCCATAAATTACTGTTGTGAAAATAAATATTTACAAATTTGCTGAGCTAGTGAAGAAGCTTTACCCAGTGGATTGACAACTAGTCAATAAATAATCTAAATATCTTAAATGAAAAACTAGAAGAAAGTATAATACGATATATTTACTTTATATAACTGAAAACAAACGACAAAATAAATTTAAGCATTTGTTAAAGACAGCGAACGATATTGTTAGGGCAAGATTTGATTTCTCTTTTTCCAAGAAACTCCATTGATGGGGAGTGTGGAACTAGTGATCTATGATTCATTGGTGGTTAGTATCTACTTAAACTGCTAATTCATTAAGTAGGAAGAAAATTATTGAATTGCCATGTGTAATTGACACTTATATAGTTCTTGTAAGGATATTTTCCCCCAACGGGACAATAAGAAATAGAAAGTGTAAATCATTTTTAACTCATTCACCCTTTTATACAAAATTTTCTTGTGAAATCAGGTGTTGAGTTGTTTGGCTCAGGGCTTGGAAACCTATATTACCCTAGCAATGACGTAGATCCGTATCTGAAGGATAATGAGGTATGTTCCCTTGTATCATATACTGTCTTTGAATATATTAATTATTTTTCGTTTCCCTTCTTTCTTGTTATTTTTAATCTTCCTTCCTTTTACCTATGTATGTATGGAATTTATTTCTCTCAGGATGATGATTCTGAAGAGGAAGAGGATACAACCATAAAACCGGAGGATGCTGTCTTAGTTTGTGCACGCAATGAGGATGATGTCAGTCATCTTGAGGCAAGTTATAGTTGGTGATTAAATTCATTGAAGCACCTAGACTCTTTCTGTTTTAAAAATTACCTGATCATTCATAACTGAACTCGATCTTCAATAATAGGTTTGGATACTAGAAAACACGACAGATGGTGATTCTAACATGTATGTTCACCATGATATCATCATCCCAGCATTTCCACTATGCACCGCATGGCTTGATTGCCCGCTTAAAGGTGGAGATAAAGGTATGACTAGATATATATTTGTTGGTATCTCAGAATAGGTGTTTGAAGCACACAGCTTAAATATTCTCCTTTTCTTGTACGTTCTGTATGACGTAGCTTTATGAGCACCATTGATGGTTCTTCACTTCTCTTGATAATAATTTTATTGTTCTTCACTTCTCTTGCGATGTTATGATAAGTTCTCAAGATTATTTATTTTTTTAAATCCTTCAGATAATGTTTTTAAAGTATATTGTAGTAATTATAGTTCTTAATACCTGGCGCTTTTGAATCATAATCTGTTGCAGTTGCCTCTATTAGTTACAGATGCTGTCAAAGAGTTTAAGCAAAACAATACAGAGACATATTACATGGACTAGGTGATTTGGAGTGTAGCACCTGTGTTGGTACGAAATAACACGATATTGATATGGGTGTAGAGTCCATGTCAGATAATGCATTTAATCAGTTAAAACTGTTGACTTCTTCTATGAGTATACTTAATGAAGATGAATGGCCTTCAAGGGATATTATCTGGATCTGTTGTCTGGCCTTCCATTCTTGCAAGACAATGGACTTTCTCCATCTCAGGCCTCACAAATGCTGTGGTGGAACAGATCTAGGGTCTCTTTCATGCTGTATTTGTTATGCAGGGTTGGCTTGAAAGTGACAGTAACATGCTCTACTTAAAATGGTCCAATGAATTGTTTAATGCACATGACCAAAAACACATGAATGATTGAATCATTACGAATAGTAAGATTTTAGCCCATCCGCTCATTTTTTTTTTGTTTTACGCCCCATACTCTTCCTCAGGCTTGGGCTGATAGCAGAGCAAGTACAAATATTAGTAGCAAAACAAAAATGCCTTCCTTGTCATTAATGTGTTTACCTAATATGTAACAGGGAAGACCTATTGATATGGTTTTCAACCAATTAGAAGTACCTTCACGAATGAATGTAAGACACATATTTGAATGTTTGCTGCCTTCCTTGTCATTAATGTGTTTACCTTATGTGTAACATGGAAGACCTATTGATATGATTTTCAATCAATTAGGAGTACCTTAATGAATGAATGTAGGACACATATTTGAATGTTGCTCGGGTTAGCAGGGGGTTTTACTAGATAGTCATTATTGAATTCATAAGATTTGGACTTGTGTCCGTGCATGACTCGGCCAAACAAATTTGATGACAATGGACATTTGTATCTTTTTATCTCCTCTTCAATGGTTGGAATTTCTATAAGAAAAACCACTAAAATTGTGATTTTAGTTTATTGCATATAATAAGGCTGTGTTTGATAGGGTTTTTTTCCCTAGAAAATGGAAAAAGTCTTCCAATTTCAGCTTTTTGTTGTGTTTGATGGGTTCACTTTTCCCTAGAATTGATTTTCACCTATGCCCAGCCACGCGCCACTTTTCCTTGCGTGAATGGAAATTCTTTTCTTTTGGTTTGGTTGGTTTTTTATTTTCCAG